TGGGAAACAAGTGGGAGAACTGCATGTTCGTGCGCAACCGAGCGACCACTATTGCTGGACAGGTAGATTCGATAGAGAAACAGTTTGCATCATGAGCATGATTGTGCAAATTGAAATGATCTGCTTTCCAATGAAACGACGGAAACAACATCTTTTTCGCTTTGCCGAGGCCTCATGCAGCTCGGCTGTGCAGTCGGCCCGGGCTGTGGTCGAAGAGATGCCAGCTGCAGTGACTGCTTCTGTGCGAAGTGTTGCTAAGTGCTCTCTTGGGGATGCTGAGAGGGACATGCATAGACTGGGGAAGAAGTTTGGGTTGAGACTTGGGGTGCCCCTGAGTCACGTACCACTGCTGCAAGATGTGAAGATCTCCATACTGTTCATGTCATCCTGGATCAGTTTTTTTCTTGAGAAGAACTTATGGTATCATCTGTGTGGTTTGGACGAGCCTGACGAGCAACGATGCGAGCAACAATTGGACTTGTTCTGGAATCGTTTTCGTGGGGTTTGCCCGAACCACCCCGTGTTTCAACGATCGCTTCCGCAGCTTCGTCGGACTTGTCCTGTCCTTGTCCACGGAGATGAAGGACGAAGTTTAAAGAAATCTGCATTGATGGTGTTATCTTTTCATGCTGTCCTTGGCAGAGGAAGCCACCCATCGACTCAGACTGGGCCGGCTGAGTTCCTGCAACAGGCGCTTAACTTTGTTGGTCACACCTTCAGCACCCGGTACCTGCTGTCGGTCTTGCCACGGGCCATGTACGACGATCAGGTTGCAGGGAACTTCCAGCTACTTTTGGGCCATCTGGTTCGGGATATGCGAAGCCTTTTTGAGGAAGGGTTGGTTTCTCCAATCTACAACAAGAAGTTTTATGTGTGCGTCGTCAACATCATCGGGGATTGGCCTTTCCTGGCCAAGGCTTTTACTTATAACCGGACCTTTGGCAACTCTGCCAAGCGCGAAACATCGAAAAAAGATGCCACCGGCATTTGTCATGCTTGCCTGGCCGACAGGCCAGGATATCCCTTCGAGGATTTCGAGTCCCAGGAGCCGCGGTGGCGGCAAACCATGAACGCTGTGCCTGCCTACGACACGACGCCTGTTCTTATGACGATGCCGCATGACCCTGACGATCCATCTGGGTTCGCAGGTCAGGATTATTTTCACGGGTTTCATCTTGGCGCTGGAAAGATATTTATCGCATCTTGTCTTGCGCTTCTCAGTTACACTTTTCGTGGTCAAAGCTTCAAGGCCCGGTTCAAGTCAATGGAAGACACGTTTTTCAACTGGTGCAGCCATCATCGTCAGCATCCTTACATCCGCAAGCTAAACCAGGACACGCTGGGTTGGCCTCATGGAACGGAGCCGCCAATGGGCGGGTGGAGCAAAGGTTCCACCACACTGTGTTTGCTACGTTGGTTTGTTTGCTACTGCCACCAGATCCGAGACGAAATCCCACAAGATTCCTTGCTGTTTATGTCCTGGAAAGCGGCATGGGAAATCAACAAGTTTTTTTCGCTGCTGTACCGTGAGAAGCTTTGGGTCGAGGATTTGAGAGCAAAGGAGATAGCGGCACATGGGCGGGCCTTTCTAAAGCTCAACGGCCGCTGCGCAAAACGCGCCTTCGATGAACACCGACCCTTCTTTATGTTTATGCCGAACCTACACCGATTACAACACCTGATGATGAGGATGGAAGATCAGGCTCGGGTTTCGAAGTGGGTGCAGAATGGGTTAATGTGGTCATGCCAAGTCGAAGAGGACTTTATTGGGCGGCCATCGCGTGTGAGCCGCCGGGTACACCCCCGGCGTGTCGTCGAACGCACGTTGCTTCGGTGTCTCCTAGCAGCTGGTAGGCAGTTTCGACGTGCCGGGCTTCTCCGCGACAGGTGACCGTACTTGTAAATCTACCTCTCATCATTAGGCGCTCATCATAAGCATCAGATTGTGGAATATCTTTAGATGTAAATTCGTTGGGCGTGTGATCACTTGACAAATGTCGCGGACAGCACTTGCAAGCTCAGTGCCCGGCCATTCAGTCACTGCAGAGCCCGGCAGCAGGCTGGTCGAGCCCAAAAAGATCGAATCGTTGAGCGAGCTTCTGATAAGACAACCCCAACAGCCGGATCGTGCCAATGATGTCCCACAGAACAGCCCTTAACAATCCCGAAAAAACCAAGAACCGCGTTCTCCATCTAAGAACCTGGTTTTCCCAAGCAACCGACTTTTTCCTGGGTTTTAGAGGGTC